ATGGTATAGATTATCTAAATTACCATAGTGCGCGAAAAGCTCATTGAAAGGCATATCAAAATGGCATAGCGTATCGTAGTTCGTCAAAATTTGTGCGAACTGGACAGAGCGACATCATCAAATGTACATTAACAACAAAAAGCAAATCGCCGGAAACACGCACACAAACTTACTCGTTTGTTATAGATCAGAATGCATTCTTTCTGAACCGGTCGAGCACTACCACGAAACATAGTGGAGCCCGCACCAACGGAGGCGACATTTGGCAAATTGACAACTACCTCTCGGCCATCATCCACCTTAATCGAGCCCGGTTTGGATCGATCTACTGAAGCTGGCATGAAATCACATCGTATAGTCATGTAAGTGGCTGCGGACGGCTCCAAAAAGCTCTTTCCCAATTTCACATCGAACGTGCCATTCAGCTGCATGGTGTTCACTTTGTGTGAACAGCTGTAATACGAAAATAAACCAATCAACTCAGCGTAAGCACTTCTAAGCATAACAATCAATATGTACGCCGATTGTAAGACAGTGTTGATAAGTAAGTCTCAGGTGGAAAGTGTGCCATCGAATTCTAAAGATTTACTTTGGGTGTTGTCAAAAGTCGGTTCGCCAGGAAGTGCTCTCGATCTATTTTTTAAGTGCACCGGACACAAATCACATTTGGGAATGGAAACAAACGTTTATATATAAGCTCGAACCAGTCAGATTGTCTCGGTCCGGTTTGCAAAACAAAATTCTTATACGGATTAATCATGAAAACAATGGATGCAGTAAAACAAACGATTAATCCAAACAACACTCTCCAACACCTTCTTTTGAAAGCTTTTCATTATGATCCTGATTGGTACATCCGTCCGCTCCGTGTTCGGGATGGGGATTGTGCTGTCAGGCTCGTCGTTGGCATTTATAGCTGCGGTGCTTGTACACTGATTTTAACAGCCTCCTGCACAGTATTTGGATCTTTTCTTTCTTCGTCTTCGTCGCCATTCTCTTCCATTTTTGGGCTCGGTTGCGTCGTTTATATGAAGTAACAATTCCTGGCAACTTTCTCAGTTTTCTATCGAAAATAGAAGCATACTTTTTCAGGTAGTATTCAGTATTTTTACATACGTGATGAAAAAATGAATCATAGTTGAACGATACCAAACTAAGTCGCTCGATGGACTCGCATCAAAGGTCTGGAATAGAACCCGGCTCCACCACGACAAAACTCACAACAGAAGAGACTGTTTTTTGGATTCTTCAGTGTAATGGTGGTTTGTCCTTTCGGCTCTACGTTGGCACCGTTCCACATAACTAATCTCGTCTGGGTAGGGTCCCATGTGGTATCGGATACGCAATTTCTCGGTATTATGTTGACGGACGCACCAGAATCTCCATTCACCAGCATCTTTGCAAATATGCCTTTCACGCGATCAGCTGTTTGAACAAGAGGTTCTGGAGTTGATTCTTTCTTCATGAAACACTTGGATGCAAAATAATTACGCTTTTTACAGTTATCGTACGTTTTCCCTAATCAGTTGCTTCTTCCTATCGGATGCATGCGGCCACATAAACGATAATCAGCTGTTGGCTGTGTTCGATTTTCAGTGGCGATTTTGCATAATCCATAATCCTCCGTTGTGGTAAGCGTCCCCGTATGCTTCTTCGCTGACTCCTCACTCTGGTGCACTGTTTCAATGTCAGCTTTGGAATTTTTAGGAGGCACTTCACTACAGCAGAATCCCACAAACCAACAACGATTCGGTCCCTTATTAGACTTTATTCTAGACAGGCACAGAAATTGCACGACTTTAGGGATAGAACGAATTCGTGGCTGCTGCTTCCTCTGGTTGAAAACGGATCGTTCATAATCTCGTTAGATTCGCCAACACAGTACCGCTCCTTCTTCGCTATCGCCAACTGCCAATCTACACCGTCCTCACCCGGNTGAATCTATTTATGAAGCGCAGAGCAACCAGACCAATAGCGTAACGGAACAAAGCCAATTGTGCGGAACTGGATTCGCGGTCCACCTGCCAGTGTACGAAAGTCTGTATACTATGTTCACCACAGTTTCGAGTTTTCAGTCAATCGCCCAGTCTCCTCCATAGCCAGATAAACCGGCGGTTGAATCTGCAGTCGACTATTTAGTATCTCCAACATTAGGAATTTTGCAACAGGTTCCGTTGCCACTATGTCAAAAGTCGGTTCGTCAGGAAGTGCTCTCCACCCATTTTTTAAGTGCACAGGACACAAATCACATTTGGGAAGGGAATCACAGGCGTTTATACACAAATTCAGTTCAGTTCGAACAACCATTAACCATGCACTTCTGTGCACCGGTTTTGGTTGCTATATTTTGGCCGCCCATTTGTATGAACAGTAGGAGAAAGATATCAAGGTTGGAAGTGGAATCGAAGAGAAAATTGGGAATTTCAGTGGACTACTGTTGCAAAGGAATTGAAAAGATGCATGAACGCTACTGCTTACGACTCCCAAACATACCACTCAGTCGCTAACCATCGAGTAGGATTGTCCCGAGGTCCCCATCCAGGGTTCCTAACGGGACCTGTATGACCCAGACTCCGAGTTAGGGTTTTCATGCCCCCATGCCAAGTCTTAGCTTGATCATCCTCGGTTTTTTCTACCCACTATCTGTCTTGGCGAACATCACTCGCTGTAGCAATCTATTTGGCGACATGCGCAGCACATGTCCCAACCAGCGTCATCTATGGAGGTCGACTACTTGCTCAAATGGACGACCGTGATTACCTAGAACTCCACGCCTAACCTCAACATTGCTCGTCCGGTTGTCCCATCAGACTCATGCAATGCGCCGTAGACGTTGGAACAATAACAATCTATTTTTATCCTGTTCCCGTAGTGAACAAGTCTCTGCACCGTATATCAGAACTGGCCGAACTGCTGCAGCATATACCCAACTTCTCACGGACAGCCGGATGTCGCAACGGTACCACAGATGTCTCAAGTTGGCAAATGCCAATCGAACCTTCTGTATGCATAGCGACACTTCATCTATGACGCCTCTGTCAGGGAAGATATAGCTGCCCGGATGGCAAAATTTATCTACCTCCTGCATTAACTCTCCAATCAGGACGAGGTTGGGGGCCGGACCAACTCAATCTTATGGCAACATTTTACGCTGTGAAGGTGCAAAACGCATATCTAACATAGCTACACCAGCACTCAAACTAACCGGAAAAGCTTGCAACTTACCTGGATCTTCACTTAGCAGCAGTGTCGTTCGCATACTGAAGATCAGACAATCTGCCACCTGGAAGCAAATCGACGCCACTATCCGCACACGAGGATGGGGCTGTTTCAAGAATTATATCTATGGTAAAGTAGAAACGTAGAGAGAGGGCAACCCAGACGAACACCACTTTATGTAGTGAACTCCGACTAGGCTATTAGCACAAAGGGAGTATAATACTGAAATAAACTTCTCAGGACACACTTTAGAGCGAGGTAGCGCCAGAGCTTCGAGCGGTCGACTGAGTCGAAAGCCAATTTCAGATCAGGGAAAATAAAAATGGTGGATCTACGAAAGGAGTGTCTGTCTTCTATAATTTGACGAACAGTGAAGATTTGGTCTACACAACTTCGATCAGGTCTAAAACCAGCCTGGTTCTCACAAGTGTAATGTTCACATACGGCAGACGATCGACGGGTTACAATACCAGCGAAGAGTTTCGAGGCAATGTTGATTACACTAATTCTGAAAGATTTTTACAAGAGGACCTGTAGCCTTTCTTTTAATTTGGTGTGATCATGCCATTATTTCGTCTGCCACACACAGCCCAGGAGTTTCGTTAACTCCAAAACTAAGACTTGACTTGCAGCCTTAAAAGCCGTCGTGAACAGCCCATCCAGGCCGGAAGCCCTATACCTTTTGAGGTAATTTGTTTACCGGGTAACCTCCATTTGAGATGGAGGGCTGATGTCAATTGACAGTTGAAGCAGGTGTGGGGAGGTCTTGTATCGACGGGGGCCACCTGAACTGTGCCTTAAAATGTTCTGTCCATCAATCTAGACGGCGCTGCTGAGTATGAATCAGTGTGCTGTCAGACTCCTTAATCACCTCACATCTACTTTCCTTTGACCCGTGTGAGTTTGGCAGCGGTCAGTGAAGTTCGCTTCACTGTATTTCGCTGTACGATGATGATGATAACGATGACCCGTACTCCTAATTAAACCAAAAAGATAGACACTATTATCGATAGTCACAGACTTCTCCATCTCTACACTTTCCTACCCACTTTTCGCGATCATTCCCCAGACTCTTGATGAGCTGGCGTTCAATGGGTTTGCGCGCCGTGTCGTATTTTGCATCAGAAGGAACGGCTTTCCGAGCGTCCAACAGGGTAACCGAGATTGGGGGAGCGATCGCTTTTGCTTTGATCATGCGCCAGAATCCGCCATTGTTTTGATTAACATTTGGATTGCTTCCTTGATTATCGTCCAGTGTTCACTGATTGCTTCAGCTGATGGTTGAGCTGGAAGGCGATCATATGGTTCCACTTTGAAGGCCAATTAGCAACCATTGGTGACACTGTATTGTAGGCATCCGTCTTCGGTGGCTTTTCTGCGGTTGATGTGATCTCTTCCCAAAACCACCCTCAGCTGTGATTAGGCTCTAAAACACTTCCAGCTGATCATCACAGAGGTTGAGGATAAGCACAAGCTACTACCAGTCTTGAACACGCACTGTGCACTTGGATGGTGCAAAGCACGTGCCACACCTGGATACCTAGATCACCAAGTAGCTGAAAGCGTGTTGAACCGTTTGGGTATTGACATTCAACAAGGCGATCTTGTCAGCACATTCGAAGTCAATAAATCTGTTCCCTGTCATTATCATCATTGTACAGCGTAATACAGTGAAGCGAACCTCAATGATCGCTTCGAAACTCACAATGCACACAATGTAAGTGAAAATGTGAGGAGGATAGGGATTGCGTCTACCTTTAGGGATGGGAAAACAAAGCGAACCTCTATAGTCAACACATAGAGTGCACAGTTCAACTGTGCATACATACTACCTAAAGCATTCCGGTCTGATAAGAAATGACAGCAAGATCGCCATTGCTGTTGGTTTGCTACCATGATCTTCAGTGTCTCCAACTATGCGGTTACGGAATCTTTTGAGCCCCAACCCGGAAGACGAGAGACACCAACTCTACCTAATCGCTCTGTGCATTTCTTCGTGCCTCGTCTCCACATCTCCTGCCTGCCTCAACTTGACTTTATCCAGTGTGCAGCACCCAATGCAAATAAGGCGCACTGAGGTAGGTGACCGTCAAACGTATGCAGAACGTGTCTTAACGAACAGAGCCTATTGAACTGAATTCGATGCGATAGCGAGTTCTTGTTCGGTGCATTCCCAAACACCCGACGATTTACTCTAATTTACTAACCCGCTCACTCCATCCAACCAGGCTAAACTACGTAAGCATCGATTGTCGAAAGCTGCTAAATTACGGATGTAACCTACCCGCAAGTTTAAGGTCTCACAAACGTAAGGCACGACTGATCCTACAGCGGCGCAGTATACGTGATTGTTCAACTTCAGTGAAACGTCACGTCACCGCCACAGGTGTTTAAGTCCTGCGTACGTTGCTCGAGCCTTGGAAATGCGGGCGGTTATCTCCTTTGATGCGCTACCGTCGTTGGTCACGCAGCTATCTAAATACGAGAAGCAGTCACCCTCAGCTAATTCCTGACCGTCTAGTTTCAGAACAGAACTCGGCGACACCCAGTCTTGCAGCATCACTTTGAAGGTGCAAAGCACACACCGAACGGAGCGACAGAAATTGCTAATCTGTCAACTGCTCTTTGTGCATCTTCCAAAGATTGGAACAGGCAAACGATGTCGTCAGCGTACTCCGAATCGCACATCTTTTCTCCAGGTGTCCGTTTAATACCAACATTTCTGAGACCACTTAGTGTGTTCTCCAGTATTTCGTCTATGACGAAATTGAATAGGAATGGCGAAAGCGGGCACCCTTGACGAACACCGCTGCTAGTTAAAAACGACCTACTCAGCTCGCCGTAGACCCTTACGCCACTAGAAGTATATGAGCAGAGTGAACTCACTATTTTTACATACTTCTGCGGAATTACTTTGCGAAGGAGCGGACTCATAAGGGATTTACGACCAACTTAGTCGAAGGTTCCTTCTAGGTCAAGGAACGCAAAAACCTTTGGTCAGCGGCGCGTATGGCGTAGCTCGAGGACTTGACGCAGAATGCAGATTTGGTCGATACAACCGCGGCCTGGTCGAAATCCTGCTTGTTGTTCACGGGTGTTTGTCTCACTA